CACACACACACACACACACACACACACACACACACACACACACACACACACACACACACACACACACACACACACACACACACACACGTTGTTTTACTGAGGTCCCACCCACACAGGCACTCGATCAATCAGGAGTCAGTCTCAGCTGTCAATCATTTTGTCTCCGCCTGTTTTTTAATCATCAAATAACGAATTCAAACCAAACGGATCAGAAACACTTGAACAAACCTCAGAGACAGAAGAACGAGCTGAAATGACAGAAACATCTTTTTTTAGTTTGGTCCATGTCCCATCTGCTAACATGGAGGAGGCAGGGTTTATGACCTTGAGATGCTTTGACTTCACTTTTTGGAGCCGTCAAAATGAAATCTGTTCTCACACAAAAAGAAAAGTCCTGTTACGTTGACAGTTTTACTGGTTGATTTTTTATTTGATGGTCACGTGTAAACATGTAAACATGTAAACGTGTAAACATGTAAACGTGTAAACATGTAAATGTGTAAACATGTAAACATGTAGACGTGTAAACGTGTAAACATGTAAACGTGTAAACGTGTAAACGTGTAAACATGTAAACCTGGTCTCACATGGCATCACGAGAACTGAAACAGGAAACTGGACTGAAATCACAGGAAGTGATTTAATGTTTCTCGTTGTTTTGGGTTCTCTTCAGATCGGCTCGTATTTCGGCAGCGAGTTGTTATCGATGGACGTAGATGGAGACGGACAGACTGATGTCCTCCTGGTGGCAGCTCCCATGTACTACAGTCAGGGTTGGGAGAGAGGGAAGGTTTACATCTACTCTGTTACACCTCAGGTACAGACACAGCCTTCACTCTGATTGGTCGCCTGCTGTGTCAGTCACATGACAACACAGAAAATGAAACTAAACTTCCTCCCTCCAGACCTCATTTGTCCTGCGGGGGGCGCTGGAGATATCTGACAGCTCTCAGAACTCCCGTCTGGGTTCAGCGTTGGCCCAGATACCGGACATGAACGGAGACGGATTTAGGGAGCTGGTGGTCGGCGCACCGCTGGAGGATGACCACCAGGGGGCAGTCTATGTGTTTTATGGCCAGGACAAAACCATTCAGCAGCAGCACAGACAGGTAACGATGAGCCTGTCCAGACGAACGGGATTTATATTTTTGATTAATGATCTGTTTGTGTCTCTGCAGCGTGTCTCTGCAGCAGGACTCTCTGCTGGGCTGCAGTATTTTGGACAAAGTCTTCACGGTGTTTTGGACATCAACGCAGACGGGCTGGTTGATCTCGCGGTGGGAGCGCTGGGAGCTGCCGTCATCATCTGGTCAGACCATCACACTTCATCAGTCATGCTAGCATCATGGTGACATTCATGTTCCTCAGAGGATTCATTCTGTGATCTCCTGCAGTGCCACCAGGGGGAGGACAGTTTGGGGTTTTATTTAAATATCTCTATTGGATGAACATAACTTCTGATCATCTGACATTTGATCTAGCGCCACCATCTGGTCAACATTATGATTCCTCCAATATGGTTCATGACCAAATATCTCCAAACTACTGAAATTCCCATCAGCCTCAGCTCCACCTCTCATCAGTGACGATTCAAATCTCAGCGTAAACCCCAGAGGCTTCACCTGAAACATCTTGGTTCATCCTCAGGAGAGGACACTGTGGGGGTCAGTAACTCAGGGCGTGAACACACACTCTCCCTCCCTGCAGGTCTCGTGGTGTGATGAGGATTCAGGCCAAACTGACCTTTGAACCCGAGAAGGTGAACATCTTTAACAAGGACTGTCGTCGAGGAGGGAAGGAGGTGACCTGCATGTCTGTGACGGTCTGTCTGAGGCTGGAGCCCAGGACCAAGACCAGGACCAACACCAGGACTGATGTCGGTGGGTGGATTCATTATTACACGTCCAAACAACTGAGCAGCTCAAATGTAATGTTACTGTTTCATTCCACTTTATTAATCAAAAACATCTTTGCACACCAAGTTTTTTAAATTCGTCATCCAATAAAAATCCTCACACACCGAAATCTCTCAGGATGAGTCGGATGTGTTTTTAAAACTGGGTCCATGCGATCCTGAGGATTTGCACTTTGGTTCTTCACGCCCTTGTGTTTCGGAGACGGATGTTTCTCAGTGTGTTTCAGATCTAAATAAAAATCAAAATCTAATGAGTGAAGATAATAATGAGACCGTGAGACGACTGAACCAAATGAAAGATCAGCTCATGGAGAAACTCTGGCTCTGACTCGTCGTCATAAACGTAGCTGCCAACGTGCCTCTGAGCAGCTTCTGTGTGAGCGGGGAGTGTGATAGTTTGACCTCGACTGGACGTCTGGAACAGCTGTGTGGACGTTTGGGAGACAGCGTCAGAATCACCCAGATGTTTGTGTTGTCTGTTGTCTTGTCTCCGTCTGTAACTGGCTGCAGATGTGCTGGGCCAGCTGCATGGAAACCTCGCTAACATGCTAACACCAGCCAGCCACCGTTTAACTGTGTCACTCCTCCTCCCTCCATCGCTTCATACCTTCCTCTCCTCTTTCTCACCACCACCTCCCCATCCCCCCACAGTCATCTGGATTGGATTAGACACTCACACACAAACACACACACACACAC